TGTCCCAATCGGACAAATATTGGGAGTTATGTGTATCATTCACCAAAAAAATCGGACGAAACCAGGGACCGTAACGGTTATAACTTATATCAAATCAGGTAAAAAATAACTGTTATTATGTGACCTAAATAAAAAAATCCACTTTAATTATTTATTTTTTAACGGAAAAAATAAACGTTGATTTTTAACTGTTAAAAATGATTTTTATTTTTTTCCGTCAAAAATAAAAGCCTTTTTGGGACTTTTATTTTTTCCGTCAAAAATAAAAGTCTTTTTGGGATTTTTATTTTTTCCGTCAAAAATAAAAGTCTTTTTGGGATTTTTATTTTTTCCGTCAGGAAATAAAGGCCTTTTTACGTAAATAAACATATAGAGTTTGATACCAGTTATATAACCTTTGACCTAATAGTCAGGGGAATGATTCTTTAATTTATATTCATGATTTGGTACATTAGATTATTTTTTAAAAAGTTAAAAAAAAATATTTTTTACCTTTGATCTTGATTACTTATGTGTACACTTATTGTAATAAGGAAAGAGATTTATAAATTGTAATTTTATAACTGATTACAAGTTGTATAAACTTCTTTACATAAAAAGAGTTTTATTTCCTGACGGAAAAAATAAAAATCCCAAAAAGACTTTTATTTTCCGACGGAAAAAATAAAAATCCCAAAAAGACTTTTATTTTCCGACGGAAAAAATAAAAATCCCAAAAAAACTTTTATTTTTGACGGAAAAAATAAAAATCCCAAAAAGACTTTTATTTTTGACGGAAAAAATAAAAATCATTTTTAACAGTTAAAAATCAACGTTTATTTTTTCCGTTAAAAAATAATCCTTAACATGGGAACTGAGAGTGTTTTCTCAAGATCACTCAATATCCTTAATGGGCTCCTCAATACGAATCTATTGGTATATGACACTATTGGTGTCCCATGTCTCTAACATGAAGATTTTTTGTTCGCATTTTAAAAAATAACTGTTATTTTCGGTCCCTGGACGAAACTGTATATGAGAGCTATATCTTAACAAAACTTCGCAGACATCAGTCTGAACCTAATTCAGTGCGCTGTGCAAAATTTGGTCCCAATCGGACAAATACTGGGAGTTTGGTGCATCATTTACATTCATTTTCTTTCGATAGGGTTCGTCCTTGTGTCAAATAAGTGAACTGTGTCAAATTTCATCCAAATCGGATCATAAATGCGACCTGTACTTTGTTAACAAAAATATATGGACGGACGGACAGTCAATCGACTCAGAAAGTGATTCTATGCATATTCTCAAAAGGAACCATGGGTCTATCTCGATTCCTTTTGCCTGTTACAAACATACGCACAAAGACATAATACCCTGTACCACAGTGTGGTGTAGGGTATAAAGAGCCACGTCATCCATTTAAAAATTCTATAGAAGTGTTTAGCCTGGATTGTGGGATGTGAAGTGCAAATTGTTACACGAGGCATATTTTGTTCACCAAAATATCTAAATAATAAATATTTTTTTAAATACTTAGCAACCGAATTCTTTCGCCCGGGGAATATTTGCTTTTGCAGACCACTAACATATTCAAATGACTAGTCACGTTTATTGACCTATTTCAGCTTAAAATGTGTTTTTATGAACTAAAACAAATAACTGTGAAATTCCAAGTACATATACGTTTTGGTAAACAGTACAATTTACAGTACATTTAAATTTTAGGAAAAACGTGCTCTATGGCACAAAAATTAAATTCCAAACAAGTAACTAACTATTCAAATTGGCTTCTGTGCTAGTGTCACGTTGTATCGAAAATACAAATTTTGTTTCAATCGATGGCCACATTATAATTTTCACATATTCTAATAGAAAGGAAGACATATGACAATTTCTATAAATGACATTTGCCAATTTTGTCACGACCAGTCAACCAAAACGTGAAATTTATTAGTACACAATCTTCCTGGCTTTCTATTGATGTACGTGAGAAATATTCATAGAACGGATTCTTCCACATATAACGCTTAAGTTCAGTAATAGTTTTGTCGCAAGTATTTTACAAGTAATGTGGTATTTTGGAGGAAGCAATACAAAAGTTCTGAATATGTTTAAATGTGATTTAAAAGTTATAACCCCTACAATAATAAATGCAAGATAAACTTTTTTAACATTGTCACAGCATCATGTAATAGATTTTAAATTTGTAAAATGTAGTTTCTGTCCTTAGAGTTAATGAATCTATTTTATTTCGACAAATACTATTTAGGGATCCTTTAATCCAAGTTAGTATTGGACGAAGAGGAGCATGTAATATTACTTCCGAGACTCATCATCTACTCATTTTCCCAGTTGCATGGAACTGGATATTAAAGACAAATCGTTGATATGAGTTGTAGAGATCTATTTATATGGGCAAGCAACAGCTTTCCACTTTATAAATCACCAGTGCAAGTTAATGACACTGTGGTGCTACTTACTGTTCTTAAATATCTGGGACTATTACCGGAAAAATGAAAAAAAAACAAGTGGAAAAGCGTTAAGTTCGGCCGGGCCGAACTTTGGATACCCTCCACCATAGATATACTGACATGTACTTGAAATGGAAATATAGGGAACATACCAAAAAGTGGGCCTATACTGACATTTCTAAAAAGGGATTATGTAAACCATAATACAAATTTCAGAAATGTTTCATGGATAATTATACCCTTAGCCTTATGGCTAATGAGGGTGTATACAATTTAACACTGTGAAAATGTGCCTCATAGAAATATTGGTTCTAGACCCCACGTTTCTTTGGACCAAATCCGTTTTAGAAAATTTTAGATTTCATCCAAACTTTGCCCATCTTATTATTTCTTCCAAACTTAGATAAAATTCAAAGATGGAGAATATCGGTCTACTCCTTCAGGAACCTCCACACAGGGGCTAGGTCTAAATGCGGCTGTAGTTCATTATCGAACCTTACGTTATATTTTTTATCTAGCTATCCTCCGCAGGAGAAATAATTACAACAGAGTCTTAGAACCAAACTCAAAACGCGGAACATATTAGATATCTATTTTAATTTTTTTTTGTACCCAATAACAACTCAAAGTACCAAATTACAACCAATTCGGTAGAAAAATGCGACCAAAACACCCAAAATACCGAAAATTGGGGGTACCCTTATATGGGGGCTGTACGAAAAAATGGACCTATATTTATAAATTTTTGTGGGGAGATTTGCTACCCAATAAGAACTCAAAATACCAAATTTCAGAGAATTCGGTTGAAAAAAGCGCTCAAGAACGTCAAAATACCGAAAATTGGGGGGTACCCTTATATGGGAGCTGTCCGAAAAAATGGACCCATATTTATAATTTTAGTGGGGCGATTTGCTACCCAATAAGAACCCAAAATACCAAATTTCAGCGAATTCGGTTGAAAAATTCGCTCAAGAACCTCAAAATACCGAAAATTGGGGGGTACCCTTATATGGGGGCTGTCCGAAAAAATGGACCTATATTTATAATTTTTAGTGGGGAGATTTGCTACCCAATAAGAACTCAAAGTACCAAATTTCAGCGAATTCTGTTGAAAAACACGCTCAAGAACCTCAAAATACCGAAAATTGGGGGGTACCCTTATATGGCAGCTATGCCTAAACGTGGACCGATATAGCCCATCTTCGAACTTGACCTGCCTGCAGACAAAATACGACTCTATGCCAAATTTTGGGGCTCTATCTCAATTCGTTTAGACGCTACAGACAGACGGACAGACGGACATGCTTATATCGTCTTAGAATTTTACGCTGATCAAGAATATATATACTTTATAGGGTCGGAAATGATTATTTCGATGCGTTACAAACGGAAAAACAAAACTAATATACCCTCCATACTATGGTGGAGGGTATAAAAAATATTATGATGTTGTCCTGCCGCCTCCATAAAAGCGATTTAATGTTATTAGCACAATAATTTTGCTGCATCCATAGGAAACCTCCATATTTGATTAGCATTTGAATCATAAATGATGATACACTGAATCCTAACAGACGTCTCATTTTTAAAGGACCAGTAAAATAAAATTGGATCAATAAACATGTCATTCTGCAACCGATACTAAATTTTTCATTTGGTCAGATATAGAAGCTATACCTAAATCTGAACCGATTTCAGGAATCTTAACACACATCATTTTAGTCCTAATTCATTACGCTCTGCCAAATTTCGTGCAAATCGAATGATATATAGGGACTTTGGTGCACCATTTAAATTAAATCGGACGAAAATTTATATGGGAGCTATATCTAAATCTGAACCGATTTTCAGGAAATTTAACACACATCATTCTATACCTAATTCATTACGCTGTGCAAAATTTCGTGCACATCGAGAGATATATGGGGACTTTGGTGCACCATTTACATTAAATCGGACGAAAATATATATGGGAGCTATATCTAAATCTGAACCGATTTTTCCCAATTTCAATAGGGTTCGTCCTTGGGGCAAATCAAATTTCATCCAAATCGGATCATAAATGCGACCTGTACTTTGTTAACAAAAACACATGGACGGACGGGCGGAGAGACGGACAGACAGACATGCATAAATACTTAAAAAGTGATTTTATGCATATTCTCAAAAGGAACATGTTGGTGTCTATCTCGTTTCCTTTTGCCTGTTACAAACATATGCACAAAGACATAATACCCGGTACCACAGTGTGGTGAAGGGTATAAATATGTGATATCTGTCTATCTTAGAAAATGAAGGAGGGTTGGAAATGTTCTCTAAGTATTTAACAATCAGTTGTAGGTAAACATTCAAACGCCTTGTAGGATAAGAAAGTGGCTGGTTATTATTGCCGATAAAGAAACGACGAGGAAGGCGATAAACACGAACGGTTTTTTTACCAGTATAAAGCAGTTATCAGTGGGGTGGTGTGGTTAGTTCAATTAAAACCATCGCCGTAGATGTACGTTGCTCGTCGTGGTCTCAGTTTCTGATTCGGCACTAACAAAAATGATACTCAAAAGCTTGTGGACAATAAGTGTGCTCTATATGACAAGCTGGCATCCGGCAGCCACATACCAAGGACTTGAATCGGCGTCGTATATGAGAAGCTCCAACATGTTTCAACAACATGAAATTCATACATCGAATCGGCCATCTCCTGAAGAATATAACTGGCTTCGCGACAAATTTTACCGCTGCGAAGAGTCCAAATCCTTTGGAGCTGATGTAGAGCTGACTTCACGGGAGGTGGAAGCCAACAAAAAGATTATGACCCTTAAGACCAAGGAGTATGAAAACGGAATGATTACTCCTCGTTTGTTTACCCCGTCCCAACATTTTTTCAAGGTACTAGATGATATCAGGCAATCGCCGCTCTTTAAATTAATTTCGAAGATGCCAAAAGGTGGAGTGCTGCACGCTCATGATACGGCTTTGTGCAGCACCGATTTTCTTGTGAAGCTTACATATCGTGACAACCTATGGGGTTGCTCCGATAATACCACGAAAACAATATCCGCTTTGAGGTTTGCAAAGGTAAAGCCAGATAAGAGCGATGCGGATGCTAATTGTACTTGGAATCTGATGTCAAAACTCCGAGTAGTCAATGGCACAGAGCACGTCGACCAATACCTTAGGGATCATCTGACAATGTATCCTGTGGAAAAATTCCCAGATAACAATGAAGCATGGAACCGATTTATGAGTATTTTTCGCCTCTTAGCTGGTCTTCTGTTCTACGTTCCGGTATGGGCCGATTACTATTACAATGCCCTAGAGGAGTTTTATGTCGACGGTGTCCAATATTTGGAATTTCGTTCCACTTTGCCGTCGTTATATGACTTGGATGGCAACGTATATCCTGAAATCTATACGGTCAGTGTTTACAAAGAAACTTTGGACACATTTATGGCGGCAAACCCAAATTTCATTGGATCAAAATTAATTTATGCCCCAACACGTAACATAAATGACGAAGGTATGGAGCATTTTATTAAGACCTGCATCGAAATTAAGGCAAAGTTTCCCGACTTTTTGGCGGGTTTTGATTTGGTGGGTCAAGAGGAACCCGGTCGACCGCTCAAAGATTTCATTCCTCAACTGCTAAATATCCCCGATAATATTGATTTCTTTTTCCATGCCGGCGAAACGAACTGGTATGGCTCTGACGTCGATGAAAACCTTATTGATGCCGTCCTACTGGGAAGCAAACGTATTGGACATGGATTTGCTTTGGTTAAACACCCATTGGTGCTGCAAATGATAAAGGAGCGAAACATTGCCGTTGAGGTGAATCCCATATCAAACCAGGTGCTTCAACTTGTATCGGACTTCCGCAATCATCCATGTACACATTTGTTCGCCGACAATTATCCAGTAGTCATTTCTTCAGATGACCCATCATTTTGGAAGGCGACTCCATTGTCTCATGATTTCTATATTGCCTTCCTGGGCATTGCATCCGCCCACTCCGACTTGAGACTCCTCAAGAAATTGGCAATGAACTCGATTAACTACAGTTCCCTTTCACCGGAGCAGAAAATCGTAGCTCTGCAGAAGTGGCAAGCTCAGTGGGATGTATTTATTGCTGATATCGTCATTGGTGACAATGACAACAAGAACTACAACACACAAATAAGATTGCTAGATATTTTCAAATATATATTGATTTAGTTCAATTGTGAAAATTATATAAATAAATTTCGAAAAATTTCAAAAAATATATGCGATAATGTTTTTGTCGTCTTTCCTCAATTCCAATTTAATATTTCCAAAAGGGGAAAATAGAAAATCATGTTACAAATATGGTGACGTTGATAAAAACTTATATTTAATTTCCGAATAAATTCGAAATCGTTTGCATTTAATACTAGTTACCAATAAAAGGATTGTTATGTGTTCAAATCATAAAAGTATGATTTAAATTCTGATGGTGATACATTTGTCAATAAATCTTTATAAGAAACAATTTCTTTATTTAAATTAATTTATTTTCGGCCGATCTGAACATTATCTACAGTCACTTGAAATTAAAATTTCACAACTTATACTATATCGAATGATCTTAGGAAGTATGTTTAGAACTTCGGATGTAAACAAAAATGGATGGGATAATTATATAGGGCATATTACATAGGGCAAACTACCAGCGTGACCGCTGACATTTTTCGAAAAGTATCACAGACAGTATAATTTTTGAAAAAAAGTGGCACAAATCTTTTGAAAATATTGCACAAAAAGTATCACACTATTTTGCTACATATTAACATGGAATCTGATGAAATTATATATGGACGGTACTTACAAATTTTAAAATCGGACAAAAGTTAAGTATTTTGTTTACATTTTTTAATATTCGAAACAAAAATCCACATTATTCTCATTCTAAGCTTGTATCCCATGAAAAATCATTGTTGACTCTATTCGATACCCAATGTTAAATTTCGCCTCAATTGGGAAAAAAGTAGGGTCTTAGGCGCACCATCTTGTATACGGGAGCTATAATTATATCTTAACCGATTCTCAACAATTTGTATAGGCTAAACAAATGAGATGTCCTGAATTGCTCCTATTCTGATAACTAATGTTATCTTCATTTGGGTATGTCATCAAATACACAATAACAATTCCCTGTACCACAGGATGTAAAAATTCTAATAGGCAATTTCAATAAAACCGATTGAAATGTGTTAACAAGCAATTTAAAACAAAGTGGAAAAATGTAGGAAGAAGGTGCTCAAAATTTCAAAAAGTGACACAGGGCCGATATAATGTATCAAAATTGCTACTTTAGCGGCACAACGGTCACGCTGCTGACTGCCAGAAATATTAAATTGCTATCAAAAATATTAATATTGAATACCTAAAAATTTCACCATATGGTAGTAACATTTATTAGCATAAACGTTTCCGACCCCACGAGGAACTATGGTATACTGTCGAGACTTCTTATGTATAGTGGGGGGATATGTGGAACATACCAAAAAGTGGACCTATACCGATAATTGTACACGCGACTGTTGTAAGCCATAATGCACACGAATTTTTAATGGGGATTTTCCTAAGGTGAAAAATGTATATAAAATCCTCAAAATACTAAAATTAGAAGGAAAAGTTATATGTGGGGCTATACGTAAAGGGGGCCAATATTGATTACATTGTGTAAGAATTACCAAACATTTGGAGTTATCAATATGAGGGGCTATGACTAATTAAGGGCGGATATAGCTCGATTTCGAACCTAACATTTTCGTTTTGTATGGTATTGTGATACAAAACAAAAATGTTAGGTTTCCTTCACGATAAATATTAAAAATTCCGATCGGTAGGCCTAAATGCGGTCCGATAATGATATTTCATCCAACTCAGAACAATAATTTGAACTGTACTTTGCTCACAAAAATACATGGACGGACAGACGGGCGGATAGACGGACAAATAAATAAATCGACTTTTGCCTTTTACAAACACATACAGAAAGACATAATACTCTGTACCATAGTGTGGTGAATGGGGACTATTCCAAAAAGGGGCTGAATAGTAATAAACTTTGGGAGGGAGATTTGTCACCAGGGAGATTTGTTACCGATAAAAACCAGTAAGGAAAGTAGTAAAGTCAGACTGGGCCAACTATATGATACCCTTCACCACTTTTGCATATATTTTACATATGTATCCTAACATGAAATTGTGTCCTAACATCGTCTTTATCTATAAGTGTACCGACTAAAAGATTTTGCGTATAAATGGACTAACCGATTTAATCATTTAATTCCAATCAGACAACATTTAATTCCAATCGAAATATATATGGAAACTATGTCTGCATCTGCATCACTTTCAACAAAACACAATAACGTATTCTAGTCTCAATTTGATACGTAGTGAAAAATTTCCATAAAATCGGAAGAAAATATATATGGGAGCTATATCTAAATCTGAACCGATTTTCACGAAACTTAGCACAACATTTTAGACTTAATTCAATACGCTATGCCAAATGTCGTGCAATAGAAATATATATAGCTACTTTGGAGCACAATTAATATTATATCGGTCGAAAATATATATGCGAGCTATATCTAAATCTGAACCGATTTTTACGAAACATAGCACATATCATTGTAAACTAAATTCAGTACGCTATGCCAAATTGCGTGCAAATCGAAAAAATATGTAGAGACTTCGGTGCACAATTTACATAAAATCGGTCGAAAATATATATGGGAGCTATATCTAAATCTGAACCGATCTTCACAAAACTTAGCACACATCATTCTAGACTCAATTAAGTAAACTATGTGGAAATCGAAGGATATATAGCGACTTTGGTGCACAATTTACATTAAATCGGCTGAAAATATATATGTGAGCTATATCTAAATCTGAACCGATTTTTACTAAACATAACACACATCATTTTAGACTTTATTCAGTACGCTATGCCAAATTTTGTGCAAATCGAAAGATATTAGGGAATGTGGTGCACCATTTACATTAAATGGGACGAAAACATATATGGGAACTATATCTAACTCTCAACCGATTTCAATAGGGTTCGTACTTGGGCCAAATAGATGTGCTGTGCCAAATTTCATCCAATTCGGATCATAAATGCGACCTGTACTTTGTTTACAATTATACATGGGCAGACGGATAGACTGACGGACATGCATAAATCGACTGTTATATGGAGAGTACCGGAAAAATTGGACCTATATTTATAATTTTAGTGGAGAGATCAGGGATGGTCCGTCTGACAAACTTTTAGGTTATCGACTGTCAAAAAATGTAATAATATTCATGTATTTGAATATTATTACTATATACAGTTATTTTCAAGAATATATATTATTTTTACATATATCTGACTATTCCTTACTAGAACTGATAAAAAATTATAAACTTTTTGCAGAAGAATCTTGATATGAGTAAAGCATATATAATTTAGAAATTGTTTAATGGAAATAGCTATTTTGTCAAAAACTTAATGGTTTTGGGTGGGGTTCCGACGTTGTATTACACGTCGGAAATGTATGTCATTTACGTCACTGTTTCTGACCATCTCTGCGAGAGATTTAATCTATATATGGGCAATATTGCCAAATTTTTAATATTCTATTTTCAAAAAATCAGCTTTTTTGTTTTCTTGGCACATCAATGATTTTTGGTACACATATAGAGAAAAATGTTCTGACTCCGAAACCGTTCGCGATCAAATTTTTGGTTGATGCGCGCAAAAGTTATCGAGGTTTTAATTTTTGGCATAAGAAAAAAATCTTAAAATTACGCCGTTTATTATATTGAACAAAAACGTTGATATAGATCTTCCTCCGTAAAATAAGAATATGAATATATTATAGTAATCGCGATAAAGTTGCACATCTTCGCGAAATATGAGAAACATAAAAAAATATAGCAGATGACATCAATATTTTCATTATATTAATGACATACACACACCTAAACATTAATTTAAAAATATCTACATAATCTAAACACGATGGTGAATCAAATGATATCAAAATCACACAAGTCCGTGTAGCGGTTTCTAAATCAAAGCGACAACAAAACAAGATATTGAGGAAAAATGATTGATTTTGGTTCGAAAAAATAATGTCGTCATATTTATTTTTTTAATTGTATACAAGAAATTTCTGAAAAAAATGTTAGGGTTATTCTGCTATTTTACCCGAATTTTGCCGAAAAATTGTCATATATAATAATAATCACTTTTTGTGTATAAGTATTCGCCTTGCGGATTATATCAAGACCCTTCCGATAAATCTTAGAATTCTACAAATAGGAATAAATGTTAAAATAAAATAATATTATGAAATATACATTTTAAATTGCGTGTAAATCGCGTAATTCTCAAAATCATTTGATGCGCATGCGGTTTCCAGGAAGTTCTGAAGTTTATCTTCCAATCCATATATATTTTGCGAAATTTCATTTGACGGCTAAGATGTGCCACACGTTACATTGAAGTACCTAAAAAATCGTAAAACGCGAATAATTTCCGAAAACTCCATGTGCCATTAACGCGCATCCGATTTCGGTGTGCACCCTAAAAAAAAAACATCGATCTATACCATTTCAATGTGGTCCATTAAGAACCATGGATGTGCCATCACAATCTATTTTTGAGATAAATTGCGTACATCTCTCTTTCGGCTGAAGTTTTTAAAGTTCTCTTTTCGAAAAAGATCAAAATCCGTATGAGGTCATTTATTGAAGCGGAAATGATACACAGAAAACGCAAATAAATCCGCGATATTTTCAAAAACATTTTTTGCCAAATTTCGTGTTTTTGGAAGGCCAGTTCCCGCCGTTCTAGTAGATGGATTTTCACGAAGAAGATTTTATATCATCCGAAACGTAAAAAACCTTATTGATCGCGGATTCTCATATCATTCAGTTGACAGATCTAAAAATTTGGCCCGAAAATAGGTTTTTTAGAAATTTGATCGCACAAAATTCGCACCTTCGGATGAGTATTACTCTGAAGCTGTGCATACTATATACACAAAATACATATCAAATTATGCAGATTCGCGACTACAATAATCTTATAATCGATTTTTATAAATTCCTGTTTGCGTATTAAAGCTAGAAGTAAAATTAAAAAAAAACACTCAAA